GTTGAAGTGATTTAAAAAAAAAAAATGAGGACCTCCTCACAACTTCCTGCCGGCTTCCAACAAGCAGAGTCAATGGAGAAGCCGGCAGGAAGTCGCAAGACCCAGGCAGCTTGCAAGCAGGCTGGCAGGCAGGTAAGTGACTGCTGCCAGATAGGGGAGGGTGCACAAAGCACAGCATGATCACAATGGGGCCAGGGCATGGCTGCTGCTGGGTGTGCGACAGTGCGCAGGTGGCTGTCAGGGCACAGCATGAGTGTGGCAGGGCAGTGGGTGATTGCTACTGGGTGCATGAGGATGTGCAGGTGGCCACTGTGGGCTGGGGGGTGCCACAGGTGCCGTAGCTGGGCTCCTTGGTGGAAAAAGCCACTGGAGTGCAAGCAATTTACCAGAGTGACTTGCAACCTTCCCTGCCATCTTCCCCTTTGACTTTGTTTATGGGAAGCTGGCAGGGAAGATTGCAAATGGTGATCACATGACCATGGGACTTTGCAACAATTGTGAGATGGTTGCCAAGCACCCAGATCGCGATCACGTGATCACAGAGGTGCTGGGATGGCCAGAACTTCGAGGACTGGTCGTAAGTACCACTTGTTCAGTGCTGTCGTAACTTTGAATGGTTGCTGAACAAGTGGTTGTTAACTGAGAACTACCTGTAATTCCAGTGTGTTCATTTCAGATGTCATCCTACTCCTGAAATGCTAAATCATAAATTGCAAGTAAAGATTTTCCAGATTTGCAAGGAGTGTACATTAATCATTGTCTTGTTTAAAAATATGGGATGTTGTTTTTTTCCTGTAAAAAGCGGAATAGATGTCCTATAAAACTGAACTTTAAAAAACTGAACTTTAAAAAGTATTTTTTAAAAAATTATCAAAAAATGTGTTTGTAAAAATTTCTATACAGATATATTTAGATATTTGCAAACATCTGCAAAATATAATAAATGAAAAAGCAAGGTAAATATGCCAACCAGATTGTCACAGATTGCTTTAAACCCCATTCTTGCTTTATCAGTTTCAAAAAAATTAAATATATATTAACACCATTCATCAACTAAATCTGTAAATTCCCATTTTAAGGCCATTCACAGATTACTTTAATCTCTTTTTTACCACATAGTTAATCTCCATGAAATTTTATCCCCATTATTTATTATTATATCTTTAAAATATATTCCAGATTCTAAGGCAAAAATATGTATTTTAGAAATGTATTGTAACAATATGTTATACTGTTTACTGTATAACTAGCTAGAGGTTTTAATAGCTTAACTGCAGACATTTTTCTTTCTCTTTGTTACATTAAATAAGACAAAGAGACTTAGATATTTGAGGGCTGCTTCACACATTACAAAAGTAGTGACTATACAGCGGCATGTACATCAGCAGTGTTTGTAGCGGAGCCCAAATGGGCACTTCTTTAATGAATGTACAGTGATCTTTTTTACAATGTAATCTTTATTTTTTGTTATATGATTGGCCAATGAGGAAAAAGGGCCTTCAGGATTTAAAGGAATTTAATTGGCATTTCCCTGTTTCAGTTTTTCTAACCTGTCTATTGTTTGTTTTTAATGATAAAGTGGAACTAATTCTGCAAGCCTGTAATTGATCCCAAATTATTTTGACACGGGGCTGAAAAAAAAGCCTTTATAGTAGCAGCTTAGAACTTAATAATTCTGATGAAATAGTAAATTACTTGCAGCCTGCCAAAGTAAGTAAAGGATTTACTGGAAGCAGGGCCATCCATGAGAGGTCAAAAAGGTCAAGATGGCCATACAATTGAAGCCTGACCCTTTTTAATATGTATTGTCACACCTTTCAAAAGGGCAGATCTTTGATTGCATAGTCACAGCCACCATCTTGACTTTTTTGCTGCCCCCAGTGCCCTGGATTCAAAAAGCTAAGCGAACCTGGAGAGAAAGGTGTGAGAAGAGAGAGGAGAGGCAATTGACAGGAAGCAGACGAAAGGGAAAGGAAGCAATCAATACGTATCCAGGAAAATAGGAGCTTGTAAAATAATAAGTCATTCTGGTAGATAAGCAGAAAGTTTTGTACCTCGAAACAGAAAAAACTCATACCCCATATTGTTTATTCACGTATTGCTATTGTTAAATAATAGTTGAATTGTTTGTAAGCAACTAGTCCGCCCAGTGAACATAATATCCACCATTATGCAGTGCCAAGAAAAGAGTTAATATGAGACAAAATAACATCAGATTAAGAAGTCTATAGTTCTCATTTTAGATAAGGCAGCAAGATTTTAAACTATTTAGCCCTTCCTCCCAACTTAGAAATCATGCCATTTCTGACTAGAAAAAGCTAGTTTAGCATATTAACAAATCCCACCAAAAAAAATTAGACAAAAAAGAAAAAAAAGAAAATATGCTGTTTAAAAACTTCTAAATGAATGAAGGTGAAATAACATGAAAACATTTAAAGGCATACAAAAATGTATTGAAAGAGCTTTGATTATTTAAAAAAAATAACTTCATTGTATGAGGAAACACTTCAATATTGCAACCAGCATCACAGAGAGAAGCACAGATTTGAAATATTCCATATATTCAGATTGAGGACTAATAACCATCTTTGCTTCTTCCAGTGTTTCTTCCAGTGTGGTCCTAGGACCCCTGGGGGTCCCCCAAGAACATCTCAGGGGTCCACGAAATCAAAATTATTTGCCAGATAGTGAAGATATTTGCAAAAATGTTAAACAATGTCACTCTTTTCATTGTTTTTATTTGTTAAAAAAAATAGGATTTATTCATGAAAAAGATTTTATTTATGTTAATATCTAATGGGTTTAATATTGTTATTTGTACATAATTCAATAAATAACTGTTCTATGAATGCAACTATTTTAATTTTTAATACAGTAAATATCAATAAATATAACCCATACAGGTAGTCCTTGACTTACAACCATTTCTTTAACGACCGTTGGAAGTTATGTTGGTGCTGAATAAAGTTATTTACGACCGGTCCTCATACTTATGACCATCACAGCAACCCTGTGGTTACATGATCAAAATTTGGGTGTTTGGTAACTGGTGTGTATTTACCATGGTTGCAAGCATCCCGGGGTCACATGATCACCATTTGCATCCCCAGGGGGCTTCTGACAAGCAAAGTCAATGGAGGAAGCTGGATTTGCTTAACAATCGCATGATTAACTTAATGACCACAGTGATTCACTTAACGACTATGGCAAAAAAGGTCATAAAATTGGGCATGACTCACTTAACAACTGCATCACTTAGCGACAGAAGTTCCAGTCCCAGTTGTGGTGATAAGTTGAGGACTACCTGTATAAATAAAAGCTCTTTTGGGGTTCTCCACAGTTTTTAAAAGTGGGAAGGGGTATTGAGAGCAAAAAGTTTAAGAAACACTGTTCTGGATATTACATTTCATTAAAAACTGGAAATCATCCATGCATAAATGGCACGCATTATTTTCTTTTTAACTTGTACGTTGAATGGATGGCCATAAAGAACAGAATAAGTAAATAAATGTTAACAAATCCAATGATGTTTTAAAAAAAACAAAGATCAATGACAACTACGATTTAAGAAGAGGAAGCAAAATAAGCTGTTACTCAAGGTGACACAGGAATTGCTAATGTGGCAGGTCTTTTTTAGAATATTATTAATGCCAAAGTTTATAGTACTGTGTGTGTTAATTTTATGACCAATTAATCATACAGAATTTGCACCAGAGGCACAATCCTACACATGTAAATTTAAATTCTCAATGCCTACCTCAAGTGACAGCCTTTAATTGTTGCTATAAATCAATAAGATGCTGGGTTAAAACGAAACCAACTGGTTTTGAGGTAACCATTTAACATTAAGAGAATAAATTCTAAGGCTCTGTAAGGTGAGACCACTCTTACCTCCATGGGAAACGCTTTAAAATTAACTGTGTGTTCTGAGCCACGCTGGTTTTCTCTGCCCCAGTGAAATCGAACATTGTGAAGTTCAAATTCATGCCCCCGAGGTAACGGCCCTCCTACTAACACTGGAAAAGAGCACAATACAAATTATAGCAAGTGATATTCATGGCTAGCAACGTTCTAAACTCCTCTCAGCAAACAGTTGGAAAATTGTTTCTCTCTGGGCAAAGGTCAAATGTGAAAACTGTAGTGGGGCTCACAATTAACACAGCTGGTTCTTGCTCGGGTAGAACAATCCACTTTGAGTTTACAGTATGGAAACGGTATCCAGTTGCATTCTCTTTTTTATGCAGTATCACGGCTTTCCTTAGTGAAAGATATATGTTGAACTGTGTTTATGTAAACAAAACAATACTGTACACGAGGTCCATGTTTTACTATGCAGGGGTTGCCTTGAGACTATACCTGGCCATTTGAATACAGGGAGGAAATGGAGTAAGCAGTAATAAACAGTGGCTGGATATACACATTGCTTTAACCCACAATGTGGTTTGTTTGGCTGTGGCTTCACATATTGTCTGATTTCAGCCATTGGGGCTCATTCAACAATCTGTGGTTAAAACATCACACTTGAGCTCCATGTGTGAACCTGCTAATATGTGATAATGGAGACTGATCAGCTAGTCAAATGCCATTTGATACTTGGCAGAAGCAAAAGCAAAAAAAGTAGTAGTAGTAGTAATAGTAGTGGTGGTGGTGGCAGGAGGCCCGTAGACCTCACACACATACATTCTATAAAGTTGTATATGAGCAACCACAATTTGATAGATTTTGGAAGAAGACACCAGTGAATGAGAAAGCATTTTGGATAGTGTCTTTCTCCCTAGACAGTTTACACAAGTATATTTGGGGGATATGTTGGAATATTTTAAGCTGTGTGTATTAGAAAACATAAATTAGTCTTCAATTACTTCCTTCCAGCCAGGCCCAGAAAGCTATTACCATGCTCAAACTTCTCACTGGAATTTTGAAAAGCGATTTTTTTAAAACCAATTTTTCCGAAATACTACAGATTAAAAATGAAACTGGGATTTTCACAGTACATTTTAAAGTTTTCAGGGGTTATACAAAAGACTAACAAACAGAGAGAAAGAACAAGTATCAAACTGTTTGCATGATAGTGTAAGCATACATATTCACACACTGGAGTGTACTGTATATTTGAAAGTTGTTGGTTTTTTTTAAGATTGTTATCCCACTTTTTTTTTCATATACAAATCAAGGTGGCCAACATGTCAATACTCCTTCCTCCTCCTATTTTAAGCTTCTGGAGTTTTGCTTATTTCATTCTGTATAACTAGAAATAAAATAATTGGCTTAGAAGGAAAACATGTTTGATAGATTTAGATAGAAAGTGCTGAACTTTGTAATCTTCACTGCAAAATTACAGTGCAAAAGAGAAGTTTCATGGCTAAAGCAAAACGTCAGTCAGCCTTGGATCCTGTTTATGAAAACATTGCCTTTAGACAGTTATGGCTCTTTTTCCCTTGATAATTCAACCAAAAAAAAAAAAAAAAAAAGCCAGACTGGTAAATTAAAAAGGGTTCTGTGAATTTTGAGATCAACAAATTTATCTCAGCATGTACTTTCATGTACCATATTGTAATAAGGCCACTCTTCCAAAAAAAGAAAAAGAAAAAGGATGAAATCCTAAATTCCAAATGCAGGGTTCTTTTCCTGCCAAAAAAGCCGTACAAAAGTATGTTCTACTCTGGAAGAGCCATTAAGGAAACCTCCTTCATCTCTAGTGCTTCAGTAGGCTTGACATACCCACTCTTAACATGAATCCAATATCAATACATTGGCAGCATATGCCTCTCTTCAATTTGCATATGATAAGATATGGTGAGCATAATTCTTCCATGATTTCTGTTTGTAACTTTGGGAGAATATCTGAAGTGGCCTTAAAATTTTTCCTGACTCAGAGCTCCAAGTTTCCAGGGCAGTGTTCCTTCTAATCATTTGGCTATTTGCATAATGAGACTTTTTTTTGTCTGACCCTAGTTGCCTCATATCATTTAGAAGACTGCCAAGAATATTACAGACGCTGAACTTTTTGTATATAATAAACTCCGAATGCTGGCATGATGCGCCATTTTATGTGAAATTCTCTTTTAAACAAACATTCTAAACAAAGTGTATCCTAGAGATGGGTAGTTTTCTGAGCTCTTTTCTGCTTTGGGGCTAAGGATTGTATATTCACACCTCCTATTTGTACACATATTACACATATGGTCCCTGGTGGAGAAAGGTCTCATTCCTTTCACTCCCAGCAATCAGCAATCTGCTTTTCCAAGTGACCTTTGAGCTACAACAATATGTAGCTAAGATCTGCATGAGGCTCACAGGATGCCTTCTCCATGCTGATCACAAATGGGTGCATGAGCAAATGGGTACATGGGTACATGTACATGAAAGCAGACAAGCAGGAAATTCAACCTTCTCTAAACAGGCATTCTATGGATATATGGAACTATTGTTCATGATCCTGCGAAAGTATGTCTAAGGGCTGAGCTGATTGAGGATCAAAGGATTTAAGTTCAACATATTTAGAGGCCATCAGGTTGGTGAAGGCTAACTAAAGTACTTCCTTTCCTGTGTCCCAGTTTGGAAGTGGGGCTTAAAAATGAATTAAATCAAGAGTCCAAATAACCAAGAGTGAAAGCCCTGAGCCATCAGTTCTTTAATACATGGAACATAATTACCTTTCACCCTTATACTTTGTACCACATAGCTATAAAATGGAGTTCAGATTACTGACCTTGGCTCAGTCATCCTTATACATGTACAAATAATGATTGAATTATATGAAAGAAAGGAGGATTCAAACAAATGGAGCAAGTTCAGAGAGGGACCATAAAGCTGAATAGTATAAAGAGAAACTGAGAGAAATGCATACCTTACAACAATATGAAGAGAAAACAGAGGGGGAATTTTATGGCACTCTTCAAGAACAGGTAGTCCCCAGGTTAAGAACACCTGGTTTAAGAATGTCCCATAGTTAAGAACGGAGTCTATTGTAGCAAAATTTGAGTTAACTATACAATGGTTCGAGTTAAATACACAATGGTTTTAGTTAATTACACAATATTACTTATACAGTATTATACAATAATAATGTTCCAGCTTACATACAAATTCGACTTAAAGACAGACCTTGGGAATGGAACTCGTTCTTAAACTGGGGACTACCTGTACATGAAGGGATTTTGCACAGATTTTCTCCCAGAATGCAGATCATGAAATTCATTTAAGTTACAGAAAGGCAAATTCTGAGTGAATCTTAGGAAAAATTTCCTCTCAGTTAAGAGCAATTTGACACTGGAGCCAATTATCAGGGATTTGATGAGCTCTACTTTATAGGATGGGTTCAAGGAAAGTCCAGGTAGGTCTCTGTCAGGAATTCATTATTTTAGATTACTACACTAAGCAGCAGATTGGACTTAATGCCTGAATGGCCCCATCCAGTTCTCTGATTCAAACAGAGTATTTCTGAATATTGTGCTACTATTGATACTAATAATGATAAACGTAATTCTAAAATGAAACAATGGGTGCTGGCATTAACTTATCCTAAGGCAAAGAAGTAAATAGTGAGAAAGCATACTTGACTTGGTCTTTAAGAGGATCTGAACTGAGTGTCCATCATTGATGATCTCACAATCACGGCATACAACATAATTTGGTGATAAGCGTACTTCCAGTAGCAATGGGTCATATTTGGCCTCTCTTGAATTCAAGTTAATAGGAGACTGATATTCCCCATTTGCATCGGGAAAGATTAGCCCCCACTCAACGCCTGAAAAACAGAATAATATATTTCACTGAAATGAACGGTAACAGTGCTTCTATAAGGTCTTAGAATAATGAACTGTAACTGGGATGAAAGATTTATCCTCTTCTGCTGTACATTTCTCAAAGCCTGTTGGAGATAGCTCTCACAAGATCAGAAGCAAACAATCTGACATCAGACCAGTCCAAACAAGAGGCAGGTGGAAACTGTCCCTCCCACCTAAAGGAGAATACAATAGCTTAAATCAGTTACACCACACAGGCAGGAGAAAGCAGCACAAGAATTTTAACCTTGATTTCACTATAACCAGGGCTTGCATTTGAAGCCTAGCAGTCACTGGACTTTGTTAAAATGGCTTCATTAGTGTCTGCCTCTTCTAGACCACCTTATCAAGAGAGGTGTGACAAAGCCTCTATGAAAATGAACCAAAATTATTCTTATCCATCACATGTCAAGAACAAAACAAGGTCCAACTATGAGCTATTCAATGAATTTCTACACCAGAGAAGGATTTCTTTAAGTGCAAATAGCAGCTTCAAAGATATTCACGAGGACTACAGCATTAGAAGAAGGATTACATTTTCCACCTACCCAGCCTCAGTGATAAACAAAGCATACCCACACATCCCAGAGGCTGATTTTTTTGTTAATGCTTGTTAAGTGCAAAGATGCACTTAATCTCTTATCTGCTTTGAGCCAGGAGGTCATGCCAAAGATTTCTTTAGGGAAAATAAATCTATTTGATACAACAGCTCCTGTTTTCATTTTCATTTATTATCACAATCATTGATCAGAAATAAAAATATATATTCAGTTTGACTTAACTACAGAGTAAAAGTCTACTTTAGACTGATATGAACATCATTTGATGAACACAGAGTAAACTAACTAAAAATTACTACAACCAGTGTCATTTTTGACACATAATAATCTGATGGGGGATCTACATGTAAAATCTTTGGTCCCAACAGGCACATTAATCAGGAGAGAGCCAAGGAATCCCCATAATAATGTAATAACACATGGGCTACTAATTCCTACCTTCTTTAAACCATAAACGTGTCATTCATTTATAAACACTGGAAATAATTCAGGATTTTAAGGGAAAGTTTGCTGATGGCATGAAACATCACAAAGCAGGAAGTATGCCTGAGTTCATCAAAACTCTTTTTTAGATTAAAGGAAAAGTTAAATTCCTATTTAATATCTTGATTTCACTGGATTAAATCTAACCGTACAAGCTCTGTAACTCATGCCTCCTTCATGCCATCTCAGAAAATGTGCATTTGCCATTTTCACCACAACCAAAGAACAATATCCATTCCTGCATGCACACACACACACACACACACACAATTTTTCACTTAATATCCAGCCTGAAGAAGAATCTGAGTCCCTAACAAATCCACACTACCTGCAATTTTGTTTTCTTAGTCTTCTATCACGAGACCACTGTGCACACAACATCCCATCTACAACTGTGGCTCCATGCTTCCTCGAAAGGAATGCTCTCACCTTTCAAAACACACAGTTAGAAGATAAAAAACAAGAGATTAAAAGTCCCTTCTGGGGGCCACAGCAGTCGAAAGTAGAGACTGGGTCACTCCAGCTCCTTGTTGTTTGAGTGTTTAACACCACACGGCGACGTGTTGTCAAATGCATTACAGCCTAAGCGATGCTGCAGCTTTTTAATTGCTTTTTCTTTTACAAATCCCTCACTTTTTGACGCGGCTGGCTTAACCTGGCATCATTTTGTTTTTGTGGGAGGAAAAAGGCTTTATGGGGCAGGAAAGGCTTCGTGCTCACCCCAGATACCATCTGATAACGAAGGCAAGTATTACCTGCACGTATTGATGGGGACAAGAGCCAGTGTGTGTTTACTTTCCATCTTCTGTCTCACTCCCTTCCTCCGACTGGTCGCAGCTCACCGACTCAACCCAGCCGCCGCCACCACCCCGCCGCCGCCGCCTGCCTACCTTCTTCGTAGCCCCAATCCACACTCTCTTCGCTCTCAGGGACTTCCTCCGTGAGGCTGCCAGCCATGAGCAGGCGCTTCTTCCGCGCTTCGCGGGCGCTCTAGGCCAGACCCTCGCGCGGAAATCTGCTCTCCGCCTGGCTGTGCGCCTGAGCTGAAAGCAGGAGCAGGCGCTTTCTTTGCGAGCTGCTAGGCTGGGACTGTGTGAAGCCAGGCAACTTGGCTGCAAAGAGAGACACGTGTTCAGAAGGCGGTGCCACTCTTGAGACGGGACGGTGCGTCCTTGTGCGCAGCTAGCTGTGCCCATGCCGCGCTTAGGTTAACAGTGTTATGGAAAGAAGTGTCCACGCCAGCAGGCAAATATAGGCTGAAGGGACAAAGCAATGCAGCCTGGAAAGAGCGGAGAAAGACAGGTTGGGAAGCGTGGCCTGGGTCAGAAGTGAAATAATGCAAAACACAAAGTAATAGTTATCTGGTGCAAATAATGATCATAACTTATTTTCAAAGTGGCTTATTCATTCTTAATAAGCCATTCCAAGCATAACTCTCACCGCAAAAAAATACATTGAGGCTTAGCAAATTCAAGCACATTCAGTCTTTACAGTCTGAGATATTTGCAGCTCAGTGTGTCATGGAGATCCAGCCAGCGAATCTGCCCATCACAAATAGAACTGATACTGCACGGTCGGCTTCTGTCGGTTTCCCAGAATCTCTGCCTTCATATGGGAAAATTGTCATCTTTTTGTCATACCTTCATCTGAGTCCTTCACATGCTAGCAAAGTAATGCTTAGGATAATCTAACGCACATTAGATGGTGCTAGAGAAGATTCCTGAGAATACCATGGACAGCCAAGAAAACAAATGGATCATCAAACAAATCAACCCAGAGTTTTTATTTAAGGCACAAATGGCCAGTCTCAAATTATCCTCCTTTGGACACATTATGTGAAGATCAGGAAAAGGCTCCAGTGCTGGGAAAAGCGGAAGAAAATGAAGATGAGGGCGGCCAACAATAAGGTGAATGGACTCATTTACAATGGCCGCGGGTGCACCATTGGAAGACTTGAAAGACCAAGTTAGGGACAGATCATCATGGAGAAAATCTATCTATGTGGGCACTAAAAGTCAACACCAACGTTATGGCACATAATCAATCAATCATCTGAGCCCTGCAAAAAGACTTATCTATGCAGTTTGTTGCCTACTTCATTACAAAGATCATAAAGGTTGTATTCATATGATACAGTAAACTACCGCCCAGCCAATCATATTTTAACCATGTTAGGCTAATCCAGCACATGTGGCAAGTATATGATTCAGTGTGTCATATAAACTCAGAACAGTGAACTAATTGGATAACATTAAACATGGTTTACTGAATATAGCTGATGTCTTTTCAAGATGAGAAAGATACTATTGCCCTCACACACAGTCCTGGAACTGAATTTGAAGAAGATTTTAAAGTATGTCTTCCCCGACCATTCCACTCCTACACAAAAGTTAACTAAAGAATGTGCATATGGAAAGTCCCTGTCCTTCCCATTTTACCATTAAAAAAATAATAATTTTACAAATTAACTGGGACTGGAGGGACCTCAAGGCAATGCTTAATTATTTCCTAATTCTCCAATGCCTACCATTTTTCTCACTCCAAATTCCATTCCTGGTTTTTTTTTTTTTCCTTAGCCCAAGCTGAGAGTATTTCACATTTGTAATTGTCTACAAAATGCTTGGTTTGAACATCAAGGAGGGAGGAGAACTAATTGGAGAAATTTCAGACAGAAAAAAAGAATAGCTGTTGTTCCCTTTTTCCTGTCTCAGTGGCTCAGTTCACCCATTGTGCCAAAACCTAAGAATCACATCATGACTTAGGACTTTTCCCAGTTACAGGTAATCCTCATTTAGTAACTGCTTCAGACAGTGACCATTCACAGTTTTGACGCTGATGAAAAAGTAACTTTGTGACCAATGCCTGCATTTACGACCTTCGCAGCATCTCTCTCAGTCATGCGTTTGCCACTGCAGTTAGTTGGTACACATCCTGTTCCTGACCTGTTTTTTTTTTTCTTTTCTTCCCCTCTCAGAGCAGAGAGATTGCCTAAACAAGTTATCTCTTCCTGAACTGCTTCTCTCCACAGTGCAACCCTAAAAAGTGCTGACTGCAAGTTAACAAGCTCAGCTTTGTGACCTTAATTAGTTGATTAGAACCCTCCAGCCTGCTGGCACTGCTGCCTGACACTGACAAGATCCTAATCAGTTTCACACTAAAGGCTTTAGTTTGCCTCCTAAGTGGCTTGCTGCAAGCACCCTAAGCAAACAGCAGGAGCTAGTGGGTTCCTTTCAATATGTATTCCCCATTGTGTGCCTGCTTACTCTCCTGCAATCCCTTCCTCTCCAATGAATGTAAATACAAACATCAATTATCTTCTTGCTAATTATCCCAGCACCAGGCTGAGTATTCCCAAGAGTGGAGGAGTGGGAGAAAGGGGCTATATGATTCGCCCCTTTACCTGGCTTCCTCATGAGTCAGCTTCTGGAAACCTTCCACTTTGTTTGGACTCACCAGGCTGGTTGGGGTCATATCCTTCTGATGCTGTAAAGCAAAGGAAAGCTGAAGTAAAATCGTAAGCACAGTCACGGTCATGTGATTTTCACTTAGCGACCACTTTGCTTAATGACCGAGTTGCCAGTCCCAATTGTGGTCACTAAACAAGGACTACCTGTACTTCATAGAAGTGTTATTCTGTCCATCCCTGAGTTTTCATAAAGTGATATCAGTATGAAGTGAAATAGCCGGTCCCCATTCCCTATCCTTTTTCTATTGCTTGTATTCTAAGTCACTGTTGTCTGGATTTTGCAGATGCTACTCCTAAGAGGCAAAGCAATTGGTTTAATCCTCTGGCTTTGGTACTCTCCCTCTCTAGCATGATCCCATCCAGTTAAGCTCCTGCTCCTGCCCATTCCGTTATAACACAAGTTTGGTAAAGTGCTTTTATTTATTTATTAAAAAAGGAATCACATAGGAAACTGAGTCCCAGTCAGTAATTCTTGGGAGAGAATACTTTTATTTAGGACTTTTCCTCAGTCATTTCAGTGTATCAACTATTTCAAATCTGCACCAAACCAGGAAAGATCGTAAAATTAAAGTGGGCTAACACAATCTAGTGCAATTATGCTAATTTGGTTGACCATTAACATAGTAGCAACCTCAACTCCAATCTGTTGCAAGTAGGAACAGTGCTTTCACCTAATATTGGAACCTGGTCAATCACTTCCTGCCAAAGCTGATTTTTAAAGGAAGAAAGAGTACTCCTTATGCTGTCCTCACTGACTGTAGATATGCAGACATATCCAGATTCCAAAGACTGATATGTTCCACCAAATATAAAGAATGTGGGAGAGGAATTACACTTATCACTTTTCACTAATATAGATGCAAATAGTGATTAGGTCCTATCTGGCACAATTTGAAACTCAACCTAAGGCATATATATATAAAGAAGGAGGAAAAAAACCAAAGTTACCACTACAACAAACTTTTTGTATGTATCTTGTATTTTGGCAAGATACATGTAGTGATACAGGACTGTTTTTAAAAAAAAAAAAAGAAAACAGGAAAAGAAAAGACAAACGGGGGTAAGTAGGATCCCCATAACACTAAATCAATGCTGGAAAGGAAATAAATGAAGGATATAAAGTGTCAGAATGCCTATAAAACAATAATATCTTTATAGGATGGAAAGAGGCAAAAAATGTAGAGGGAGGTAAACTCAAGGAAATAAATAAAACAAGATTTAACAGAATAAAACTGTCACCATCAGACATTGGAAGATCATTCACCTAATCTTGATCAGTTCAAAAACCAGATGGGACTCTCAAAAGAATTAGTGAAACTCATCCTGCCACTTGGCTTTAATTGTTGTTATCTTTGAAAAACTGTCCATATATGAGAGAAACTGGAGAATCAAGAAAGACATGCAAGCATTGGAATAACATTCATGATAGCTATAGTATATTTAGAAAGGAAAGAAATGGAAAGTATGTGATTAAGTTGGTGCAGGAAAGGAATTATTTTAAAATGCTGAAGGAGGGAGCATGGTAGAAGTGCCAGTCTTTCTTCCACCTATCATTTAATAAGTTCCTCTGCCCATTTGGTAAGGTTAGTTTGCTCCCAACTAGGCTGTGAAGTTTTTTCTAGGTTTTTGGGGGAGGGAGGGAGGGAGGGGAGCTGAATTAATAGCTAATTATGATTCTCCAAGATGCATTTGTGGCTATGAGGTTCTTATTTAAATAAAAATTAATGGATTATTTTGGTTAATAGCTAACAGGAGCTAATGGAATTAGAGTCTAAAGTATCTAAAGGATACTAACTTGCCTATCTGTCTGGTATGCAGG